GCAAATGGTGTTGTCTATTCTTATGCTTCGTTTGCTCTATACCCTTCGATGATGTGCGTACATCCATTCTGTTAGCCATGATGTAACGCATAGAAGAAGACGGAGTTATTAAATAGATCTTGATCTGACTTTACGAATCTTCGAATACATTTGCTTATTTTTCTCGTTTTGTTTACTTTTCTCAATCTACTCTTTCATTAATTCTGTTTATCATATATTTCTATTTCCATTTTATTATGTCTCTACCACGATCTCACCCTCTCTGTCTATCTGACATTTTAATCATATATCTGTAATCAATCTCATCTATATATCTACCTCTATGTCTATATCTATCCATCTATACTCCAGTTTATCTGACCTTCCCAACTTGTCTTCCTATTTAGTTTACTCTCTCCTCCTCCATCTATCTCCCCATCTATCTATCATTCTATATTTATCAATATTTCTCTTTCTCCCTTCATATCTGTCTTTAGTGTCTTTCGTCCTCATTCTCTCTCTTTATCTATCCATATCGTTCTTTCTCTATCTATCGTTACCTCTCTTTCCTTTTAACCCTTGATCTCTGCCTCTTCACTTCCTTCCCCCTCTCACCATTCCAGCACAAGCCAACGATCACTCTGTCAACTTATACAGGGTATTTCAGTTCTAGCACTTCAAGAAGTTAACGGTTCCATTGAAATTAAGTAGCCGTAGTTCGGTAGTTCGCCAGCTAAAGAATGTTTCCATGTAGCAAGTGGCGCTCGATGACATCACGCGGTCGCGCTTGAAGCGCACGAACCGGCAAATAAAAGCTCACACGCACGCAGCGTGAGAGAGAGACAGGTGGGGAGTGAGAAAGAGAGAGATGGAGAGAGAGCGAGTCAAGCGGGAAAGGTCACAAAAATAAGTGCGAACTCTGGCAACGCCAAGCGCTGTGCTATCGACAATTCCGGACAATGACGGACTATCGATGAGGCCACACGCAATGATCCAAAAATTTTAAATAACAATAACAATGCGTGGGCGATTCCAGTTATCGATAAACAGCTTAACATGGGGCGAGCTTTAATTATAAAAGGCGTTGTGTGGGTGTGCCGCAGTTAATAGACAAAAGTCACACACAAACACGCACACACACACACACGCACACACGCGCGCACACAGACAGTCAGGCACCTAAACAGAGCCCAAAAATAAAGATGTGGGTCAACAACCACCAAATGAAGTTGACCTACATCATGCTTTAAAATGCACACACACACACATACAAACACACACATACCCATATAGCACGACATTATGTAAGCAATGAATACGACAGCAGCGCAGTTTAACGGTATTCAACGGCTGCTGCTACTGCTGAGAACGCGCAACTGCAGCGCCGGCGCAGAGCAAAAAACAGTTGGATAAACTCCAATTGGAGTTGTTGGTGGTGGTACATCAAATTGGGCATGGGTAGCCGCATGTGAAAGAGCGAGAGAGAGAGCGGATGAAGAGAGCGGCTTAAGTAAACAGAGCGGCGCATCCTGTGTATGTGCATGTGTGTGTGTGTTTGTGCGTGTGTGTGTGTGTCTTATCAGATGTAGTTCATTTGCTTCTTTTAAACTTCCAGCGTAATTATCGATTTAAAAAAAGTTTTAGGTTTTTATCTGTTTCTCTCTTTTGTTTTTTGGCGGGGGGTTGTTTGTTTTTCATACAGAGTTCAATGCATGCCAATTGGACTGAGTGCATGTGTGTGTGTGTGTGTGTGTGTGGCTTGGATTTAGGCTTAACTGTAGCTTACTTTCAAGCGAAAGTTGCCTACAAAAAAAAGACTAAATAAATAAAAATACCAAGTACCTCTCATGATCTTTTGTCTTTTAATGCCCCATAAAAGTAGAATCCCAATTTAGAGCAAATCCATTAAACAAAAGAGCACGTTCTTTTGTATTCATATGGAAAAAGCGCATTGTACAAAGCGAACTGCATACAAAATGGGTTCATTAACTTTTTGTTCAGCTGCTGTGCAAGAGATGAGCGCGTGAGGCAAGTTTCCGCTCTGTGCACTTTGCATACGACAATCTCTCTGCACTTAATGAAACTATCAACTTTTGCACGGATCATATCCTTCTTCCTGTGCCACCTAATCGTCGATTGAGCATTCATTTTCCAGTTTCGTCAAGTTCCCACAACTACCGTGAAGCTGATAATTCTGTCATCTTAACGAGACTACCAACTCCTGCACACATCGAGTCTTCATTTCCGTTTCGCTTTACACTCAACTCATTTCCAGCCTAGTCTAGATTTTGGTTCCCATCATCAGCTCATGGCTAATTAAACACCGTTCCGAAGCGTTTCATAAAAGTCTCTTTCATCTTTTATCTACTACGTTAAGATTCCCATCAGTGTGGAGAAAAAGCTGTGACGTCACGCGCAGTCATTGCACTGGCGATCCGCATTTCTCTTGCACTAATTGCGTACTTAGTGCTCTCTTTATACGCATACATATATCTATGTATATCGTGTTCTTCTTCTTCTTCTTCTTCATAATTCTTATTATTCTGTTTTGTTTTCTACTCACTCTTCCTGCACCTCGATGCCGCTGTCGTCCATATTCAGTTTTGCATAGTCACCGTAGGTGGCGTAATTGCTGCCGATTAGCGGTAAATGCGTCGCCGCTGTTGCAGTTGCTGCCAGCAGCGGCTGACCAGCAGCAGCGCCGGCAGCGGCCGCAGCAGCGGCGTCGGCCGCATCGAAACCAAAGCTCGGCTCCACGTGCTCAGAGAGCGGCGTCGGCGTCTCAAACACCAAAGTCTCAACCATGGAGCCTTTCGAAGAGCCGAACGACACGCTGCAAGGGATCGAAAAAAAAGAAAGAAAGAAAGAGATAGAATGAATATAGGAAATTAATTCTCCGTATGTTTGCTTATTGGAGGTTCTGGAAAAAGCTCTTCGGGGCACGCACCGTTTGAGTCCAACGCTTTTGGTGCCCAGCTTGCTGAGCTTGGGCTTTTTCTGATTGTGGGTGGGCGGGCGGTTGAATTTATCACTTTGATCGCTCGAGTCGGCCGCGCCGGCCGTGGTGGCCGTCTCCTCGGACAGGTCGTCCACGTCGCTGCGATTGTTGTCGTTGTTGTTGTAATTGTTGTTGCTGGCCTCCAGATCGTTGTCGTTGTTGTTGCTATTGCTGCCGCTGTGATTGTTGTTGTTGCTGTTGCTGCTGCTGCTGCGGGACGGATGCGTCGCTGCATGGACCAGCGGCAGCGTCAACGTTTTTGGTGGCGACGGCGACAGCGACAGCGGCGGCGGCGTTGGCGTCGATGCGCTGCCCAGCAGACGTGTGCGCTCATCACAGCTATCTGCTGTGACAGCGGCTGTGGCGGCGGCGGAGGCAACAGCAGAGGCAGAGACAGCACTCGACGTTGACGGCACGTTAGCAAGCATTGCGGTTAGCGGCGGCGGCGGCGGCGCAGTCGGCTTAAGCTTAACAAAAGTTTCGTTCAGTTCTGTATGCTAATTCACAGCAGAGACTGCAGCATTTTGACTGCTGTTCTTGTTGTTGTAGCTGTAAATGTTAATGTTGTTGTTGCTCGGTGCTCGGTGCTCGTGCGTGAGTTGAATGCACTCGCACGAGTTTCGTTAAGCTAACGGCGCGCCAGGCGGGCGAGGTAGTTGGGCGGTAAAAAGCTTCGTTCAATGGGCAATAACAACAGCGCAGCGGAGGAGTACGAAAAAGAAGCAGTAGAACAACAGCGTAATAACAACAACAGCAACAATAGTAATAACAACAATGCGACGTTGGCAATGTTTTATTTAATTTATCGTTTGCTTTATTTCGCTTGCCGCTTGATTGAATTTAAACCGGACGCGGCGGCGGCAGCGGCGACGTTGACGCCGACGCTCAATAATAATGACGACAACGACAATTCTTGCATACGAATGCTACGGTGCGCGGTTCTGCGGCTGCGGCGACGGCAACCAGCGGCGGCAGCCGCAACTGCGCCTTTTTTTGTTTCACCTTTTTCTTTCACACACACGAACACATGCACAGAGACACAGAGACACGGCGATACACGACTTAATTTCCGCAACAGAATTGAATAGAATTTCCAACTGGCAGAAACACACGCACACACAGACACACAAAATATTAGCACCCAAAAACAACAAATGCAAACAACAACAGCAACAACAAAAACAAACGAAGGAGGCGGCAGGCGACTGCGCTCGATAATTGCACTTGGGCACACTTAACACGGACGAGAAGATGCGGCGGTGTTCCGACTGCAGCGGAAGCGCATTTATAACACGTTTGCGTACGCTAACAAGTTTATAAATAAATATGCATGTGCATTTAATAAATCCGTTTTGTCGACTGCCCCTGTTGCTGTTGCTGTTTATTTTGGCCCTTCTTGCGTCGCCGTGTGTATTTGCTGCGCTTCGAATTTCAGCCACTGTCGTCAGTGTGGCTGAACTCGGCTGGACAGGTAACCCGCACAATTGGCAAGTAGTTAATGTGTGGCATTTTATGACTAGAGGGCACCTGGTCACACTTTAAGCCAAACCACTTTAAACAAGTGTGTCCACATAGAGGTGAAGTTGGCAATGCGGATTGCCAATTAAATATGTGGGTCAAGTTAATTTAATATTTATTTCTTATTTTATGAACTTAGATTTGGATATAGGTCAACCAATGGAAATTATTTTAGCTTTTTAAAAATGTCGGGTTTTGAAGCAGCGGTATTTAAATAAAATGTATATCGATATCATCATTGGCATATAATGGCTGATATTTTGAGCAATCGTAAAATAAATATATTTATGAAATCTGCCAGAAAGGGAAAAAATTAACTCGGACTTAATAGTTTCTTTCAAAACTGATCTAAAATGAGCTTGTGCGTACTAACTGTTTGTTTTTCTCCTTAATTTTATTAACGATTAAATACCAAACGAAAAAATACTAATATACTACCAGAAGCAGCACTTGGCCTAGCTGTGCATTTTACGTATCGAATATAAAAGCTATCGTCCATATCGATATCATAAGCATTTGTCATCTGTGCAAACAGCGAACAACACAACAAATAAGCTGCAGCGGCAACAGTTTAATTACAAGTATTAAAAACAAGACGCACGTACGTTCCGGCAACTGGTAAGTTATAAATGTATTTATTTAAAAAAGAAATGAAAATAAGAAACGCAATCAGTACAAAGCCGTTGGCGCAATACAGCTTCACAGAGCTCTGCTGTTAACATGTGTGCTTGTATTTGTGCGAGTTTGTGTGTGTATGAGTCAGCGTCGAAGCCCTATATAAAAGAAAACAACAAAATAATACAAAGAAGAAGCAGCACAGTTTTGCGCTTTGTAAGTGTTTTACGTGGAATTCGTTAAAGCAGACCATTTGTTGGGCTGCAAAATGGGGCGCGGCAGCTCTTGCAGCACGCAGCTGTCTGTGTAAATAAAACACACACAAACACACTCATGCACAAAAGTCGCGCTGTTTTTATTCCTTTTATGGGCTTTCAATTAAGCGAGGCTGAGCTGCTGTGTGCGTATGTGTGTGTGTGTGTGTATGCTTCTTGTTATTCATTGAAAGCAAATGACACCGCATTGATAAGCACACATACATAGACACATATGGCGACTCACACACACACAAACACAGTTGGGAGTCAGCCGTTGACGTTGTCATTTTTGCCATTTTGGTTGCATGACTCACACACATAACTCGCTCATACGTGTTGGTGTGTGACAGTGTGTGTGTGCGTATCTGTTTTCTATACCCTGTATACACGTTGAGCAGGGGTATATTGCTTGCATTTGTTGTGCACATCATATGTAATATTTGTAAATAATAATATTAATTAATATAAAAAGAAGTAATAATAAATGCAGTACGCTTAGAATTACATTCTGCTGTTTACAGCGTATGCAACAGTCGATCATCAAGTAGTTTTCAATAATTTTTGCTGTTGACACAGTTTGGTTCGGCTTTGGCACTAGCGCCGCAGCCGCGACGCTTTGGCTATATATAGACATAAACTGAATCGATTGCAGCTAATATTTGTATTCTGTATATCTTCTAGCTAACACTCACACATCACCAATTCACACACACACACGCACGCTCGCACTCACACACAGCTAGAAGATGTCCTCCCGCAAGACCGCCGGACGTCGTGCAACGACAAAGAAGCGCGCCCAACGCGCCACATCGAATGTGTTCGCCATGTTCGATCAGGCACAGATCGCCGAGTTCAAGGAGGCCTTCAATATGATCGATCAGAATCGCGATGGCTTCGTGGAGAAGGAGGATCTGCACGATATGCTCGCATCGCTGGGCAAAAATCCCACCGACGAATATCTGGATGCCATGATGAACGAGGCGCCCGGCCCCATCAACTTCACCATGTTCCTGACGCTCTTCGGCGAGCGCCTGCAGGGCACCGATCCCGAGGATGTGATCAAGAATGCCTTCGGCTGCTTCGACGAGGAGAACATGGGCGTGCTGCCAGAGGATCGACTGCGCGAGCTGCTCACCACAATGGGCGATCGTTTCACAGATGAGGATGTGAGTTTATCAAGGGAAAAACTATATACTGGATATATAATCCATAATCTCTCCCTCTCTCTCTCTCTCTCTCTCTCTGTGCAGGTGGACGAGATGTACCGGGAAGCTCCCATCAAGAATGGCCTATTCGACTATCTGGAATTCACGCGCATCCTGAAGCACGGTGCCAAGGACAAGGATGAGCAATAGGCTAATTGTACTTGATTGTTTGCCAACCGTTAATCGGCTGCAATATATATGCCCATATATCTGTAGATATTTGCGCGTATATATATTCCGACTTCATGTCCAGCTGTCTACGAATCGTGTATTTTATATGGCTTAAAAGCAACTATATGATAACCTTTATGTTCATATATTATATATTCTATTTTTTTTTTACCTGTTCTGTTCTTTTGAAATTTACATTTTAACATTTATGTGCGATTTATAGCGAATGTGTGAACTGATAACACGATTTTTCCGATTTCCATAAGTATTAACTCATATATATATATTTAAAGATATACATACATATACAAACTCACACACACACACACATACACGTACTATTTGCTGAGTGAGTCCCATTAAAAAAAAAAAAAAAAACAATTTGTTTTCATATCCTAACTGAATCGTTTTAATTGTCAAATGTCTTTGCCTAGCCTAGTCCTTAGCCTCATATGCGACTGTACTCGACGGCTTGCGGCTCCGCCTTGCGGCGCAGCTGGTAGGCCGCCCACAGCTGGTTGAGCACGTCGGCGAAGAGCACGGTGCCAAAAAAGACGAGTATGGTGCCCAGCCAGTGGGAGAGGGTGAACGGATTGCGGAAGTAGATGATGGAGAAGAGGAGCGAGACGAACTTGCGCAGCGTCACCACGAGCGTGACTGTGAGGGAGGCGCACTCCGTGGTCAGCACGTAGACGGAGCTGATGCAGATGTACTGGGTGACCACGTTGCACAGCAGGTAGAAGAGCATCAGCGGAAAGCTGAGCGTCCAGCTCACCCCGGGCACGGGCATGGCGACAGCCACCGCCTCGGAGCTAACGGCGATGCTCCAGTGCTGGGCGATGTTGCTGGCCATGATGAGGAACCCGGGCAGGGGCAGCATGTGTGTGTAGAAGAGCGCCTCGTTGGGATGCTTGCCGTAGCGCTTGTAGATCACCTCCTGGTAGATGCCCATGTAGGCCGTCACCAGCAGGGCGATCGTCAGCAGAGCAATGCCCACGCTCCACCAGAAGAAGTCCGAGAAGGAGGTGTCCACCTTCAGAGTGGGATGCGTGTTGTCCTTGACATCGCCGCTCGACACAAGCGTGCACAGAATAATGCCCACCGTGATCATCGCCACGGAGCTGTACTGCCTCAGGTTGTAGCGCTTCTTCAGCAATATGATGCCCATGATCATGTTGGCCATCAGCGACCCGCTGCGGAAGATCATGTGCAGCGGCATCGGTATATTGAAGTTGAACGCATAGTTGTTGCACACGTTCGCCCCGAAGAAGAGCACCACCAGCTTCACATAGTCGCGCAGCCCGATCTTCGGCCGCACCGTGAAGAACTTCGAGGTGAAGATCAGACCCTCGAGCGCGATGAAGAGGAACTGCGAGAATGTGATCAGGTTGCCAGCGCCCGGATCGATTTTGATGATCAGCTCCAGGAAGACGACGTTGCTGCAGCAGCCCACGAAGACGAAGATCGTAGCCAGCAGGGCCTTTATATTGATCGCCATGTTCAAGTCTTAAGCAACTAAAGAAAATAATATCTAGTTAGACACGAAACATTTTAACACTTCTTCAATTTCTAAGGTCTGTGAATTAATTGTAAAAATGTTTTAGGACTTTATCAATTTACTACCTCTCAAGATCTCTCAACAAACTACAAAAAAAAAAAAACAAAAACAAAAAGCAAGAGCGTTGCAGTCGGGTGTTGCCGACTGCAAAATACTCATTATTCGTTAATCGATTTGCAACGCCCTCAATCGGTATATGTATATATATATATATATATATATATATATATTATATCTTTTTAATGCAAATTAATAGAGGATGCCAACCGCAATTTAGTTTACTTTTTTGAGTTCCGAGCTCTGAAACGGTAGAAGATTTTGGCCACGTAACTGTAAAAATTGCCACGACAATTGATTCTAGGTCATCGATCGAGGAGGTTCCCAGTAGCTCAACTAACCAAATTTGAAGCTCTTAGCTCCTAAACTGCAGGTGAACGAATGCACTTCACTATGATGGTGTTTAGCTTCGTATGGATCGTTATATGTTCGAGTCCAGGTATTTATACCTTGACTCATGCATATGCATTCATCCCTTAAATCCAGTGTGCCTAGTGCTGAGTTCGTAAGGTTCTGAATTGGTCTGTTGCATATTCTTATCGTACCGCTGAGTTTCCATTAGCTATTCTTATCCTATCGTTGAGCTTGCAAGGCTCAGCGCTCGTCTCTTGCATATTCTTATCGTTGCGGGTCAGTGTAATAGTTTCTCTATTTTTATACGCTGACCCCATTAAAAATGGGAAATCAAGGTATAATGTTTTTGTGAAAATGTAGAGGCGGATCGGGAAAATTTTTACACTTTTATAATTCGAGGGTATATTCGAGTACGGCGGACGGACAGCAAGAGAAACATTGCACAAACCCAATATACTCATTTCCGTTTCGTGAATGGGTATGAAGACCGAAACAATTTATCATTCAACATAAAAAAAGAAGAAGCAACTATCGTAATGTTTGATGAATCAGATAAAATAATATATATATAGACTTTTCAGAGCAATCTGCCGTATAGTTCTTAGATGTCTTATAAACAACTTGTCGAACTATATAATGTGAGCACAAGTACTTTTTCCAACGTGGATTTCGGAAAAGCCTATATAGATAGGTGAGCCATAGATAAGCTTTATAAGATAGGTGAGATATGCAGATCTAATGCGATGTTTACATAGTTCCATAGATTTGGGTCGGTCATAAGCGAAAATGGAACTCTTTTACTCTTTTTATACTTTTTGTGCAATGTCCGTCCGTCTGTCCGTCCGTCCGTCTATCCGTATGAACGCAATCTATTTGTGCGCTATTGAAGCTAGAGACTTGAAATTTGGAACACATATTCGTGTATATTTCCGATTTATAAAGTGTTAAAATTTTCCCGATCCGCCCACTAGGGGCGTGGCAAATCAGAAAATGCATTTTCCGATATACCAGAAATCATGTTAGTTAAAGAGCTAGAAAGCTGAAATTTGGTATGTAGGTCCGCGTCGACCACCCAAGATCACGAGCTATGGCGGATATATCTCCGCCCATGGGGGGCGTAGCAAATCGGATAAAACTGTATCTCCTAAAGTTGTAAACCTAGAGTGCTGAAATTGCATGTCAGCTAATGTTATGATTCTATAAAGCCAAAAGACAAAATGATATGTCTACGCCCATTAGGGGCGCGGCAAATCGGACCTGAAGATATAGTGATTTTTCGAATTCTGCTATATTTTGGACACTATTATGCCAGAGATCTCAAATTTTGTATATATACTTGGGCTGAACACCCAAGACCAAAAAGCTTTGTCGGATATATGTCCGCCCACAGGGGGCGTGGCAAACCGTAAAAGTTTATATCTCCTAAAGTATAATAGCTAGAAGCTTCAAATTTGAATAGTTGAGTTACTGGTAGCCTCGTCTATCGATTCCCTAAAAAATAATTTTTACGCCTCTTTGGGGGCGTGGCATATCGAAAAAACTTTGCAGTTAGTGTACCGTTATCTCGTAAAAACTGACCGAAAATGAGGTATCTACGCCCGGTTGGGGCATGGCAAATCGGAAAAACCTGTATATTCTACAGTATTAGAGCGAAACTTAACTACTAAATTGTTGATGGGATGTGAATGAGTATTCCGCAGTCGGTAACGCCCGACTGCAACGTTCTTACTTGTTTTGCCTGTCAAGGTTAACAATGCTTGACTTGGAGATATCATGTACCATACATCATTAGCTTACTATACATTTATATATGGTTTACTCCAAAAATATTTATATAATGCACATATATAATATATATCAAGATCTATGTTTTCCTCTTACTTGTATAGAGTCAATATACTCTTTTCTACAGTTTTTTAGTGGGCATATGTTGCCATAAAGCCAGGCTTTTGAAAATTGACTTTTCGTTCTTTTTCTACACTTGCGGACTTATGTTTATGCATGTTATTATTTAATGATAGCCGATCCAACTCGGTTGTTTATGTCACACCCTTTGCTAAAAGCCATCTTTATATCAGGTTTCAGTAGAAGCTGAGCTTGTTTTGTTAATGAATGAAATTCTTTAATGAGTCTACTCGAATTCTTGACGTCTGTGTTTATATTGCCTACACATCATTTGTGTTAGTTTTAACTTGAAATAGATTCACAATGCACTCAGTTTCTTGAAAGTTACGTACTCAGAGCTCTGCAATCGTAAGCCAAACTGATCTGACTGACTTTTCTCCTCAGCTCAAGAGTTATTCTCCAGGGGTATATATTGTACTTACTCTATGTGACTGAAAGTGCGAAGGCAATCAATGAAAGTTATAAGAATTCAGACTAGCTTAACGGGCACGTATTACTCAAGTAGTATATGGAGAAGATAGTATGTCTATCATTCAGGCACACTGGTTCCATTTCTTTCTTTTATGATATATACATATATAATAAATTTTTCCTTATATACAAATTATTCACTTACAAATATAATTAATTAAATTTATTAAATTTTATAATCCTTGTTTTGGGTTTGAAACGCACTTGCTCAAGTAATGCTAGAATTTTAGCATCTGTGGCGCTTTCGAAGAATCTGAAGACTGAAAACTTAGACTATCTGCAGGCCCACGGGAGAGTAAGGCCAGAGGCCTGTACATGGCATGGCCACATTATGAGCAGCTGGGAAGGGTATATTGAATATTGGGCGAAATACAAAAAGTTTCAGTCGTTTCTTTTATACCATGTAGAATACCTCTAATATATATCTAGGTATATGGATCTATTTTAAATTTATTAAATATTTTGTTAATAATTTTAATAATTATATTTATATTATATTTATCATTTATGTGATTGCTTCTATTCAAGTCCAGGGAATGTGCTAGTCGAGCAGTCGCTTGATTACTCAGGTTGATCTAATAAACTTAAAATTGATGTTTCAACAGCTGTTGAAAAACACAATAGACAATAGCAAGAGCGATAGAAAGACAGACAAGCTAAACTATTTGTTTTTTAAGAAAACGAAGAATGAAGAAGAATCATAAGCAACGTAGGAAACGAAAGAGAAGTTAGAAGGTGAACTTTATGAGGTGATATTTGGTTCAGTGAGAAAAACTAAAAACAGCGAGAAGGGCAATAGTAGAGCTGCCATCCGTCCTCAAATTCCGGGACAAGTTCGGCTTTTGGAGGTAATGTACCGGTTTCCCGACCTGACAAGAAATTGTCCCGGGTTTCTACTGTTTCCGTTCCGGAATCGCCTCAAGTCCATATGGTAACGCTAGGAGAGGAAAGAGATAGATAGAGGTAGGAAGAAATACAGATATGAAAGGAGAGAGTGAACCTTAAAATGGGAAGGGAAATAAGTGAGCAGGAATGAGAGAACATTATCTAATATGTTTAGAAGAAAGGAAAGAAGGAATGATAACCAGAGACAGAGACAGAGAGAGAGAGAGAGAGAGAGAGAGGTATGAGGGGCTGAAATTCTTAATCAAAGAAATTGAATGAGATAGATGAATTGAGAGAGAGACAGAAGAGTCGGAGAGAGAGATAGATAGTGAGTTGGAGAGAAAGAATCATAGAGATAAATTATGACTGAAAAAAGACAAACAGAGAGTGTGACAAGAAGGTAGAACGGGCCGAAAAGCGAAGAGGGGGACTGATATGAGAGAGAGCTGAGCTTGAGAAAAAATATGATAAAGTTGCATAGCTATGCTATGCATATCATATAAGATGTGATAGGAGCTATGAGAAGGAGGGAGATGTGGGAGTGATACAATATACAGAGAAGAACGATGATAAGAAATCAATGATAGAGATAGGTAGGTAGATAGGATAGAGCCTTGAAAGATAGCCAAAATGATCTTGGGTAGATTTTTGTTTTTTTATTTATTATTAAAAAATTTTGCTAAAATTACCTTTATAATTTTGAGTAAAAAACAGAATTTCTACATAGAGCGGGACATGTAGGTCACATGAGCACGGGGGTATATGGGGTACGGTGGTGCGGGGCACGAGTGACGGGGACTTGGCTTACAGGGTGTCGAATAGTCGGTATCGGCTTAACTAACTATCTATATACAACATATAACATATATGTACAATAGACTCGGAAGCGAGGGAACTGAAACTAATATACAAATATCAAAGAAGAGCGCGGCCAACACACAAATGCGAGCGGGACAGCAATATCAATGGCATGCACGAATGGCCTCTAATTGAAGGGGTGGGCGCTATGCTAGAGGGGGGCGTGTCTGGATTAGCCCGTCTTCAGCTTGGCCTGCTTGGCCTGGCGCGCCTGGTACGCATCCTTCAGCTGGTTGATCACATTGGCGAAGAGCACGGTGCCAAAAAAGACGAGTATGGTGCCAAGCCAGTGGGAGAGGGTGAACGGATTGCGGAAGTAGATGATGGAGAAGAGGAGCGAGACGAACTTGCGCAGCGTCACCACGAGCGTGACTGTGAGGGAGGCGCACTCCGTGGTCAGCACGTAGACGGAGCTGATGCAGATGTACTGGGTGACCACGTTGCACAGCAGGTAGAAGAGCATCAGCGGAAAGCTGAGCGTCCAGCTCACTCCGGGCACGGGCAGGGCGACAGCCACCGCCTCGGAGCTAACGGCGATGCTCCAGTGCTGGGCGATGTTGCTGGCCATGATGAGGAACCCGGGCAGGGGCAGCATGTGTGTGTAGAAGAGCGCCTCGTTGGGATGCTTGCCGTAGCGCTTGTAGATCACCTCCTGGTAGATGCCCATGTAGGCCGTCACCAGCAGGGCGATCGTCAGCAGAGCAATGCCCACGCTCCACCAGAAGAAGTCCGAGAAGGAGGTGTCCACCTTCAGAGTGGGATGCGTGTTGTCCTTGACATCGCCGCTCGACACAAGCGTGCACAGAATAATGCCCACCGTGATCATCGCCACGGAGCTGTACTGCCTCAGGTTGTAGCGCTTCTTCAGCAATATGATGCCCATGATCATGTTGGCCATCAGCGACCCGCTGCGGAAGATCATGTGCAGCGGCATCGGTATATTGAAGTTGAACGCATAGTTGTTGCACACGTTCGCCCCGAAGAAGAGCACCACGAGCATTACGTAATCCTTGAAGGCGATTTTTGGTTTGACCGTGAAGAACTTCGAGGTGAAGATCAGACCCTCGAGCGCGATGAAGACGAACTGCGAGAATGTGATCAGGTTGCCAGCTCCCGGATCGATTTTGATGATCAGCTCCAGGAAGACGACGTTGCTGCAGCAGCCCACGAAGACCAGGATCATGGCCAGCAGAGCCTTCATATTTAGCGCCATGACGGATGCTGTAAAAGCGAAACAGTTAGAGAACAATTAAGAGGGGAGAGGTTAGTGGGTTGATTGCTTAAAGAACTGTTGTCTAATGATGAGCTGCTTTGTTCTGAATCTTATCAGCAGTTGCCGGCATTAACTATTGTTTGGCGGCATGTCGCTGATAAAACGGCTTGATCTAGAAAGACACACACACGCACACACTAACGCACGTGTGTGAGCGCCGAGGAGGGCAGCTACTCACCGATGGGTTAGTTGAAGTTGTTAGAAACTTGGCAGCCTATCAATTCTGTTGTGTCATGCCGCGTTTTGTTTTTTGTTTAAATGTAAAAATTTATGAATTAATAGGCAAACAATTGGCATACACACGCACGTGTGCTCAGATTACAAACCTGTAGTTAGTTGTATTGTTCTTCGCTCTCTCTCTCTTTCTCTCCCTCTCTTTCCCGTTTAGTTGCCGTGCCGTTCTCTCGTTTTCGCGCTCGCTCTGTCTTGGTCACTGCATTTGCATGGAATGACCTTCACAATTAATACGTTTGCATGTGTTGCCAATTTGTCTAGCGTGCTCCTTATTTACTTGCTCTCCTTTATTTCTGAACGTTAACTATTTGCGCTGCGCGTTGATTTTGACCGTTGCCACAGTTGATGCTAATCCTAATGTGCTTGTAGGTATTATTTTTGTTTTGGTTGTTGAACAGCTGAAATAAACGCGCAGCTATCGTTGGATCGATAGGAATTTTTAAAATTGTGTTATCGCCCAGCGACCAAGGTGTGGCTAAAAAATACCAAGCTCAACATTGCCAGATGTAAAAAAACACGTGCACGCTTCATGTGCAGCTACAGCTGACGAGGTTTTATGGTGTTACTAAAAAATACCACAGAATGCGGCACTGCCAGCTAGTATTTTGTTTGAATTTTAAATTTAACAGCTAAATAATAATAAAGTAACTAAAATATAATTAATGAATTGAAAAAACGAAAAAATAATACTAATAATAACAAAATGTTTATTAACGTATACATATTCTAGTTTTTAAGTATATGCAAATAAAAATACTTTATTCAAATACAAATATAACGGCTAAATATATTCAACAAGTTCTTATTCACTTTTTTCTCTTTTTTTTTGCATTTATATTGCTGTACTCATTTAATAACCAGAGTAATTAACTAAGAGAGAATATAAAGAAATAAACCGCATTCGACCATAATAATTACAAAACCAGTAAGAAAGCTCTAGTCGAGACTGCTCGACTACGAGATCCCCTGAAACCTTCGAGCAACTGATATTTCAATAATTATTCGCACTTACACACACACACGCACACATACAGGCATACGCAGGCATGCATGAACACGCATCGGCTGCAGTGTGGAAATTTAATTGTTTAATAACTTTTCTTGTCGATGGTCTATCTTCATAAAACTTTATGACTATGATTATAACATGGATATACATGCATTTGCCAAAGCACAAGTCTCTAGTATTTGAAATACGTCATTTACAAATATGTGGGTGAGGGGGTGGATATAGGTAGGGGTGAATTCTAACAGAAATCGAAATTGTATAAAATGCATCTGAATATATATTTAAAATTTTGAGACTATAGCTTTAAAGATGTGGGATATATAATTTTATAGCTGATTTTCGAGAAGGGTTTAATCGATAACAAAATAACAAGATTAGTTATCGATTTTTGGAGATAAACTCGATATGCGCGCTATACATACGAACATTTAAACAAAAATTGAAGTCTCTAACTCTTATATCGACGCGTTCACACATACGGACAGACGGACAGGCCCAAATTGACTCAGCTCGTCGGCCTGATCAAGAATATGGGGTCTGCCAAGCCTCCTTCGGCCTGGGCAGAAGTATAAAAAGGCTCAGGGTATAAAAAGCAAGTGAAAGCTTGAAGTTCATATCGGCTAGCCATAATTTTTTACAAGTCAGTAGATAACATAATGTCAATGATATCACATAAAAGCGAGCAATTTTTCGTCGTTGAAAGAAACGTATAATATAATACTATCTATCCTTTTGGCTATGGATTGGGGAAGAGTTTCAGTCTTAGCTGGGCCATTGCCTTAAGATGTACTCGCATGCAGTACGATTAATCTGCTTGGCCATGTGCCTGCCTCTGCGGCTCTCGCTGGCCACGGACAACAGTTATTATAGTGCTGGAGTTGTCGAGTATGCGGATGAGACAGGCACGAGCAAGGAGAGGGTGACAAAGGCAACAGCTGGGTTCGTGACGCTGCTCGAGTCGAATGATGCCTCCGATCTGGACATTCTCGTCTTTCCCGAACATGTGCTGAACAATGGCGACTATGCGACATTTGTGCCGGATCCGGAAGAGAAGATAACGCCGTGCTTTTCGCCCGACTACGAGCTGTTCCTTGTCGAAATCTCCTGCGCGACTCGCGCCCGCAACATCTACGTCGTCATCAATGTGGTGGAGAAGGAGCTGTGCGGCAAGGAGTACGGCTCGGATGCGTTGAATCCGTGCCCCGCCTCAGGCGTACGTCTATTCAATACGAACGTTGTCCTGGATCGACGAGGACGCGTCATTTCGCGCTATAGGAAGACCCATCTGTGGAGACGCGAATACTACTCGATGGCGGTGATGCGACAGCCCGCCCTATCCACGTTCGAGACGGACTTTGGTGTGACCTTTGGCCACTTCATCTGCTTCGATATGTTGTTCTATGAGCCGGCCATGCGGCTGATATTGGAGCAGAATATCACGGACATTATCTATCCGACATACTGGTTCTCGGAGCTGCCCTTCTTGAGCGCACTCCAGCTGCAGGAGGGCTGGGCATTTGCCAACAACGTGAACCTCCTGGCCGCCGACGGCAGCAATCCCGGCGAGCGGACAACTGGCTCCGGCATCTATGCCGGTCGCTCGGGTCGCCAGGTCGCCGCCATCTACCAGCAGCCGACGGTGCAGCTGCTCAAGGCGCGTCTGCCGAAGCGTTCCCTGGGTGGCGTTGCCGATCCGGAAGTGTTGCCCGCATTTCAGCCGCAATCCATCACAGCTCGGCACACCGGGCTGCTCACCTACAGGGATTACAACTTGGATGTCTTTCGCACTGCTCTGCTGCCGGCGGACTTTGTGAATGAGTCGCAGCGGCTATGCCACGGCAGCTTCTGCTGCAACTTCCAGGTGGAGCGTCGTCCCATCCCAAGCACCGGGGAGTACGCCACCTATCGCTACCGCCTGGCCGCCTACTTCGGCAACGAGACGACCTGCATACTGGTGGATCGCAGCGAGCAGGCGGTCTGCGCCGTCTTTGCCTGCCTGGACGAGGAGCTCGCCAGCTGCGGTCGCATCTTTCCCGGCCACATCGAAGTGGCCAATCGCTACTACTTCGAGCACATTCGCATCGAGGCTGTGTTTCCGGCTGCTCGGCGTCGCCTAATCATGCCCAGCACCTTGGACGGGTCAATGAGGCCGCTGCCCGTGTCGCAGTTCAATTGGACCGAAACGCCGTCGGCGCAGCTGCTATCCGAGACCCAGGTGCAGCTGGAGCTGCGGCAGCCAAAGAACGATCTCCTCACCTTTGGCATTTGGGCCAACTACTTTAGCCAAGTGCCCACCACCCACAATCTGGACCATCTGCAGCCGATTGTGCTCAATGCTCGCAGCTCGTCTGTTGCCATTGAGTCCACCTCTTCCTTTTGCCTCCTGCTCCTGGCGCTCATCCTCCAGCTGCGCTGAGAGAAAGTCAAATGTACCAAAAATATTATTATTATTATTATTATTATTTTTTTATTATTATATTATATCATATATACCTCAATAAATGAAATGCTCTATAAACATCGACTTTGCCATGGGGCAATAAATCTATTATCTAATTGAGATTATCAGATAATTGCTAGCCAAATAATATTATCTCGCTCTTAATACTTGGCAGTTATCCTCAAACTGGTCTCTATCCTGTTGTCATCTTGCAACTAGTATTATCACACTGGTATTATTAAAAAAGTTTATCTCTCTTCATATTATCCAGTAATCATTATATTACCGACTGTTACTTTCTGCTTGACTACCAAGTTTTGTGGGCGGCTTCTCTGTATTATCCAGATAGCTGTATGCAATTCCATTACAGTGATATTATTTGACTGGCTCAATATCATAATCGGATAATACTTATCAAATATTATCCGAGTCTTGTTGCGCAACAGATAATGTTCTGCCGTTCTACATAACTATATTTTGTCATTGCTATCCGAGAAGTTTTACCCTGTGTGCGTTAAGCTAGGCTGGTACTATCAGACTGTCATTATCCGACTGGCGTTATCCAACTGACATTATCCAATTAGCCATATTCTGCTGGTAATATACGATTATACATCCGAAATATGTTATCCAACTATTATCCGACTGGATATCTACTGGTATTTATTATGCCGCATACAATGAATATACGAATAGTTTTATCCAGTAATACGAGAGCAATTAGTTTCAAATACATTCTGGTAAACATCATTGCACGCTCTGATTAGCTGCTTCCCTGTGATTATCCAGCTGTTTTTGTCAGTTATATATGTATCCATTTACATATACATACATGTCTGGATAAGTAAATGGTTACTTGATTGATAGTTTCTATGGTTGTATGATTTACTTAGGCAAGTATTTTCATGGTTCAGTTAGGAGCCTGGAGACGTTTGGTAACGTGCCGATGAAACTCTACAAAAATAAACTTTTATTTGATGCAAACTAAATAAATCATTCTAAATAAGTTATCCGCATTATTTTCGCTTGGGTTTCGTCTAAACTTTTTGCTAATTCATGTTAAGAGTTTAAATTTTCTTCAGGCGAAAAGTTGTTTGCGAAAGTTTATTTCGTAGCATCAACTGCATCTAACGGCTTCCAGAATATTCAAAAATTGCGCCAAGTATCGCGACGTTTCAGCCTGGAAGTGACCAGAGAGTGGGGGCGCCGCGGCCGGCAGGGGCGGGGTGTGCGTGGAGTTTGAGGGGGCGTCGACGAGAGGAGCTGAGACGCCATGCAACGGCACGAAACGTTTTGTTGCGTGTGGAGAGTCGGTTCCAGCGCGTGCGCCCTGGCGTCGCTGCCAGCGTCGCTGCTGACGGCAAAGCCGCATGTTTGCATTTCCAACAGGTAGCCAGAGCGTCGGCGTTGGCGTCGCTGTCGGCTTCGCTGCCGTGCAACAGTCGCCGCTATTTATAATGAGGCTGTTGCACAAGGCCAGAGGGTGGCCGAGGCAGGCTGAAGGAGAAGGCGAGCGACGGGCGGGCTGGGGCTGAAGGTGAGCCGTGGATGCTGGCCGCATGCCGCATGCCACATGCCACATGCTGCGCACCGCCTGTCAGTGGAGCAGTAGCCTGCTGCTTGCTGGACGCACGCTGTGCCCCCCTAGCCTTCTCTCCCACGACCTCTCAGCCCTCGCCTTTGCGCGCTTTAACTTCATTTGTTTGCACTGCCACGCCTCTGAATGGTTGAAAATTGGCAATTGGACAGGTGGGCGAGCCGAGTCAAGGCTTACCCCCCCGCCCATACATCACAGCCAGGCATCCCCCCAAGACACCTGCCCCGTCGTGCCCTCAAGTGCTTCAGCATTAAGTTCTTCAAACTTTCCCCACTTTTTATTGATATAGCCATTATGAATTATCTTCCATTCCCTTTAACTTGAGCTCTCTCCAATTAGCCTTCCCATAATTCAAATGAACTTTGACTAATTTTGAATATGAGTGGAGAGCTCTTCT